ACTTAAATATATATATATATATATATATATATATATATATATATATATATATATATATATATGTGCAACTTTGCAAATTAATTGAAATAACCACTTTAGTTTCCTTTCTCTCATTGTACGGTCAGATTTAGACCCACTGGAGTGACAGGGTATAATCGATTTCTATTTTTCCTCAGATTAGTTCATTTGCAGTCGTGTCCAGTAATATGAATCTATTTTCGGGGTGTAGGATGACATTTGCTTGGCCTTGAATAATATTGCGTCATCCGTGATTGTATCAGATTTTCATCACGCCCTGACACTATTGTCTCGACTGTCAATTAGTTGTCCAACGGCTATTGTCTGCGATGGACGTTACTCTAAGCAAGCGGACGAAAATTGTTACGCTGCACAAACACACTGGGAAGTATTACCAGTGAGCAAATCAAAGTAGTATAGACAGGCCCGGAAAATCTCCTGATTTAAATACAATCGAGAATCTGTGGTAAATCTACAAGGAAAGACTTCATGGAATGGACATACAAAGTATTAACATGTGCATTCGTTCATGTTTCATTGGGAAAATAAAAAAAGGTAAATAATAACGGAATTGTTCGCTTTGTTTCAATTAATTTGCACAAGGGTATATATATATATATATATATATATATATATATATATATATATATATATACAGGGTGGCAATAAAATCTCTATTCAGTTACATACAATAACAATTAAAACAAAGCTATTAATCTACAGTCCAGAAAAACTTATTATTAAGTTGATAGAAAATAACACTCGAGAACAAGCTCACAAGTATAACGCATTAAGTCAGATAATAGACCGCGTAAACTTCTCTCATTTGTCAGATTAACTTGCTTAAGTAATGAAAGGTTTGATAATCCGTATGGATAATCCCAAGGAGGATGTAATCCAGAGAGCTCAATGTTCAATCAGAGCAATTTTTAATTCAATTTAAATAGAAGACAGACAACTTTAAGGGCCCAGTGGTTATAATTTATTTCCCCAGGTAAAGGGGGAAAAATGTTTTAAATATATATATATATATATATATATATATATATATATAATGATAAATTAAGAAAGCATCTTAAAAATTCATATCGTTTATAATTTATTTCATGAATATTGTTATATTCATCTAAACAGATTCGAAACAAACTTTCGGTCTGAAGAGATGAATATAACAATATTCATGAAATAAATTATAACTGATAATGATTTTAAGGTGTTTTCTTGATTTATCATTATATATTATATATATATATATATATATATATATATATATATATATATATATTGCTCTGTAACTTACATTGAACTCTCGTTGGATTAATGTCCTATCTACCACGATTCTAACTGTAGAAATCATAACATAATTTACCTCCTAGAATGCACACTATGCCAGAAACAATATGTAGGAAAATCTGAATGGCCCTTTCACTACAGAATTAATAATTATCGCAATCGAATTAAGTCGACTCCCCATGAAAAATTATTACCTGTAGAACAACATTTCCGCCTGGAAAAACACGATTTCAAAACCCATGCCAAATTCACTATAATTGAGAGAATAGAAAAGTTCAGAGCAGATAACATTAGAAAGATTTTAGAGTCCCATGAAAATAAGTGGATACAACGTCTAAAAACAAAATACCCAGCCGGGCTAAACCATAAATTTAACAATATAGATATTATTAATATATAAGCCTACAAATCAAAACCTACCCACATTTCTCACCCACACAAGACAGACATGCTTACGGAGGTGTGGAGGCCTCACACTTATACATACACCCACGCGAATATACACACTTACGCACTTCATACTCACTTACTCCCTAATGAGCCAAATGATAACACACACCCACACGAATATACACGCTTACACATATCATACTCACTCACTCTCTAAGAACCAAATAACACACACACACACACACACACACACACACACACACACACACACACACCTAACAGAGAGACATCCCCTCTCTAGGAACCAATAAAACTGTCAAACTGACCAGGGGAATTCAGAGCAGCATAGATCCATCCAGCTCTTATCTCAAATAACAACTTAAAAGAGACTGTTTGACCAACACAAGGAATGTTAAAAGATTCATGTTAAAAGATCAAAAATAAAAATAAAAAAACAGACAAAAGTTCATTTTCTCCATCAAGACATTCATTTCTGTAGTTCACTGCTACCAGCAAGCAGAAATATATCTTCTCCTGATGATGGTCATGTTGGCCGAAACTAGTTCAGGAATCTAAATGAAATAATAATAATAATAAAAACGAAAGAATATTAATCTGCAACAACCCAGTATGTCTGAAGATTTTATTTTTTTGATATTTTTTTATTGTTCAATATATATATATATATATATATATATATATATATATATATATATATATATATATATATATTGAATCTTTTGGACTGGAATTTTTCATTTATGCATGCTGTTTTGAATGCAATATACGGGGATAATTTGAAGAATTTTTCTCTTTGGTACTTCATGAATTTAAGCACAGAGATTGGCGGCAAGGTACATCATTTTATAGTAGAAATGGCTCGATTTAAAAATCAATTCTATACGTATATATATATTTTTTATTTTGCACTTTTCGTCTGTGAAACTCTGTTCGGGCTTCTGACTTTCCAGTCAACTTCAACAATTTAAATGCAAAGTCAATCGTTATCTTCTCTTTTCCTTATTTCTGTCCTTTCATGGTCTCTCTCCCTCTCTCTCTCCCCTCTCTCCCCTCTCTCTACCTCTCTCTCTCCATCTCTCTCTCCTTCTCTCTCTCGCTCTCTCCCCTCTCTCGCTCTCTCCATCTCTCTCTCTCTCCCTCTCTCTCTCCCTCTCTCTACCTCTCTCTCTCTACCTCTCTCTTTCCTTCTCTCTCTCCCCCCTCTCTCTCTCTCTTGCTCCTTAATGATGTCTTCTTTATCAAATATTTATTCACCTTCACGTCTTAGTGGCTTTATTGTCTTGCTTGGTATGAAATATTTAAAAAGATTAATTTTTTTTCTTGTGTTCCTATAGATTTTCTTTTCTTTTATGAAGACTACGGTGGAGTAATAGATAATGGCTCGGATTGAGAAATCAGCCGAGTTCGAATTCCAGTCAAATCCATTGCATTCACTTACGTGCTATTAACCTCAGCAAAGGTATTAATCCTCTTCTTCTTCTTCCAGCTATGGATAAATAGCAGACCGGGTTCTACAGTCTTGGATGACTACCGCAGAAAAACTGAGGGAAAAAAATCTGCCTCGTCAGTCATGTATCGAAAGATACATGCTCGCCTAAGCGTGTATTATACATGGCACATAACTGAACTGATATTCACTTACGTACTAATACCCTTGGGAAAGGTATGAATCCTCTTTCCCATTAGCTATGGGTAATTAGCAGAACAGACCGGGTTCTATAGCCTTGGATGGCAACTGGCAAACTACTGCGGGAAAAAATTTGCCTCGTCAGTCATGTATCAAAAGATACATGATCGCCTAAGCGTGTATCACGCATGGCACATAACTAACTGGCAGACTTTCCAGTCTAATCCATTACATTCACTTACGTGCTAATACCCGTGGGAAAGGTATAAACCCTCCTCTTCTCCCCCCCAGCTACGGATAAATAGCAGGACAGACCAGGTTCTATAGCCTTGAATGGCAACTGGTCTACCACAGAAAGAAATGGCAACCTGCTGTGCGAAAAATCTGCCTCGGCAGTCATGTATCGAAAGATACATGATCGCTTAAATGTGTATCACGCATGGCACATAATTGACTAAAGAGAGTGTAGAAACTGTCCGTAAAGATTATTGTCTCAGGCGCTTTCGATCAATTCCTTAGCTCCATGCATTAAGTTTAGAATATTACAAAATTATTCAAAGAAGAAACGGTGGAATATATATATATATATATATATATATATATATATATATATATATATAAAAGTGAGCATAGAAGTCAACACTTACAGGCGACAGTCTGTTTCATGGCCTGACGATTGCATCTAGCATAAAACAGCCTGTCACCTCTAAATGTTGACTTCTATGTTCACTTTTATATTTACACACGCTCTATCTCTTATATTGAGCACTTTATTCCATAAATATAGCACACCTTAAGACTATATTTCTTTATATATATATATATATATATATATATATATATATATATATATATATATGAACATTGAAGGCAACACTTACAGGCGACAGTCTATTTCATGCTAGACGCAATCGTCAGGCAGATGGTGGCCTGACAATTGCGTCTAGCATGAAACAGACTGCCGCCTCTAAGTGTTGACTTAAAAGTTCACTTTTACATTTATACACGCTCTATCACTGATATTGAGCACTTTATCGCATAAATATAGCACAACATAAGACTATTTTTTCTTCATATATATATATATATATATATATATATATATATATATATATGTTTTGTTCTTAGCTAGGTGTTAAATTTTACGTTAGACTCAATGATGATGTAAGTAGTTTTAATGATTGCTTCATATTAGATGTTAGATATTTTTATTTCTTCTTTTCTGCTTCTATTTCCTGTTTTGTTCATATATTTGCGTTCTTATGTATTTAATTATATTTACGGGTTTGTGCATTACGCAGCGATTGTGTCTGTCTTGTCATTTGTAAAACGACCAGTACTTTCGGTTATACTCTCTTCCTACGGTCGGGAGGAACCCAAAGGAGGCTACGCCGAAGGGCGGAGTCTCCTTCGGGGAGGTAAAACCGGCCCTGAACCCGTTTTGGGCTATTTTTTGGCCAAGCCTAATGGCTCGGAAATGCCCACGTTAAAAAGGCCTTGTGCCACATGACACCCTCGTGTGTGTGGGGGGGTGACTGAATATCGTTATTTCTAAAACCGCTTCTCCTGTTCACCTAATCTGAATTCAAACTCTATCAATGTATCTAATATGTAGCGATCATTGAAACTACTATAACATGTGAAACTTCTTATGTTCCTTCGAACTGGAGATGTATCGGATCTATCAAGATCTATCTATCTATATATCTATTTATCTATCTATCAATCTGTCATGTTCATTTTTGCTCTTTTTCACTATCTGTATCTATCTTCTAATCGTTGTACGCTCCTATCGATCTGTCATCTGTACATTTCTATTTCTTAATTCATCGTATTAATTTTCTATTTATCAATCTATCTATCTATCTATCTATCTATATATATATATATATATATATATATATATATATATATATATATTTGTCATGTTCATTCTTGCTCTTTTTCACTATCTGTATCTATCTTCTAATCATTGTACGCTCCTATCGATCTGTCATCTGTACATTTCTATTTCTTAACATATTAATTTTCTGTCTATCAATCTATCTATCTATCTATCTATCTATTTATCTATATATATATATATATATTATCATGTTCATTCTTGCTCTTTTTCACTATCTGTATCTATCTTCTAATTTTTGTATCGATCTGTCATCATCGATATTTCTTATCTATTAATTTTCTGTCTATTCTATCTATCTATCCTATTAATTTTCTATCTATCTATCTATCTATCATGTTCATTCTTGCTCTTTTTCACTATCTGTATCTAGCTTCTAATTTTTGTACGCTGCTATCGATATGTCATCTGTACATTTCTATTTCTTATCCTATTATTTTTCTATCTATCTATCTATCTATCATGTTCATTCTTGCTCTTTTTCTATCTAGCTTCTAATTTTGTACGCTGCTATCGATATGTCATCTGTACATCTGTATCCTTTCTTATCCTATTATCTATCTATCTATCTATCTATCTATCTATCTATCTATCTATCTATCTATCTATCTATGTGTTCCCTACTGTCCGTACAATATTATTCGATTTGATAACTGCCATTATCACGTTTCATGTCCATCTATTTATTTTTAATATGAAATAAGATACATTTACACGGAAAACTGCTCAGAGGCAGAAGACTCAGATCCTCCAAAATAAGGCTGACAATCTCAGCAGGTTTCTTTTACTGTGTAGGGCGACAAAAATCATTGAATTCTCTACTGCGGAAATAATAGCCGTAATTGTGTTCCGTGAATAGCCGTAAAATGCTTGTGCATTTTTTCTCATTTTACACGTACGTGGAAATTGCGTTTAACCTACCTGGCTTTTTTTATTTTATTGATATTTCCCGAAAGGCCGACGGGCTGCAGTGGGGTCCCCTTGGTAGTATCAATATGCGAATTCAATATGAAGACAACATAAAGAAGGATCCACGCATAGAACAAGATTTAATTTTCTCATAAAAGAAAATCAGAGATTTACGATCAAATTTGTGTGAGGCTTTTAAAGATATCAGGTGATTATTTTTATCAGAGATTTCAATATATATTGCATTTAATATATAGTTTCGTTTAGATAAAAATTTAAGAATATGTATAGACAGGGTGTGTGATGTAGTGAATAGCGCCTCGGAATAAGAAATAGGAGAGCAGAGTTCGAAATCCAGTCGGTTTCGTTATATTCACTTCCGTGCAAATACCCTTGGGAAGTATATGAATCCAACTCTTCTCTTTCCATCTATGGGCAAATAGCAGAACAGACTGGATTCTATAGACTTGGGTTAAAACCGCCCTAGGAGAATTACAACCCTGAATTCAAAGTCATTTTGGAACCTTATAGCACACTGTATACACCAGTTCCCTATATTCGGCTCTTTCAAAATGTGTGGTCGATTCTGTCCAAGCCTTCACCACTATAATCAAATGATATATGTATATAGTTTTGTGCTCAGAACTAATCTACTGGACACTAATACGTCAAAAACGACTAGGAGAGTCCTTTTTTTTCCGGGACATTTTCGACTAATGTAGGTCTAGTAGCTCAGTTCTTAGAACCAAACTATACCCAGACGTGATTTGATTATTATTTGGAGGAGAAATAATAATGGTTTAGTGATACAAGTCTTGGAGGAGAAATAATAATGGTTTAGTGATACAAGTCTTGGAGGAGAAATAATAATGGTTTAGTGATACAAGTCTTGGAGGAGAAATAATAATGGTTTAGTGATACAAGTCTTGGAGGAGAAATAATAATGGTTTTAGTGATACAAGTCTTGGAGGAGAAATAATAATAGTTTAGTGATACAAGTTTTGGAGGAGAAATAATAATGGTTTAGTGATACAAGATTTGGAGGAGAAATAATAATAGTTTAGTGATACAAGTCTTGGAGGAGAAATAATAATAGTTTAGTGATACAAGTTTTGGAGGAGAAATAATAATGATTTAGTGATACAAGTCTTGGAGGAGAAATAATAATAGTTTAGTGATACAAGTTTTGGAGGAGAAATAATAATGATTTAGTGATACAAGTCTTGGAGGAGAAATAATAATGATTTAGTGATACAAGTCTTACTAATGAACCCATAGCTTGGTGGGAAAGAAATAGATTCATACTTTTCCTAAGGGTATATGCGCCTAGTAAAACTGGAACTTCGAGACATTATTCATTACACCACCCGTACAACCAAACTTACACTACCTGGCATTCCCAAGCGGTCACTCATCTAGATAGCGACCGGGATCGACGTTGCTTAACATCTATGATCGTACGGGATGTTCAACAAGCTGTGACCGTAACCCACAAACATAAAGAGGGATCGTAAAGTGCAAAGTTACTGAGTGCAAGAAAATACGAGGTGTGAAGAACCATCATTATCCACGTCCTGAACAGATTTGGCACATTTTTTTTTTAATTTAATAAACCAAACGAACGTTTTCAGTTACTCAATATTTAAAAAATAATCGTCCTTTCTTTGTTTTGGATATCGTCTTTAGCAACAATTTTCAGATGCCTGCTATAGAAGTGAAAAAAATACCAGTAAAATTCAATTTTAGTAAAATATATACCTGTAATATACATATATATATATATATATATATATATATATATATATATATATATATATATATATATATATATGTGTGTGTGTGTGTGTGTGTCTGTGTGTGTAAAAATACATAAATGTAAAATATATATATCTGTAAAAATATATATCTGTAATATATATATATATATATATATATGTGTGTGTGTGTGTGTAAAATATATAACTGTAAAAATATATATATCTGTAAAAATATATATTTGTATTATATATATATAAATCTGTAATATATATATATATATATATATATATATATATATATATATATATATATATATATATAAAAATATATGATTAGTACAAAAGAGTCCACGTGTTCTCCATATAGTTTATAAAATAGAATAGATAAGTTGGTGAATAAAACAAAGTCAAACGAAAGGGTAGCGATGTAGTCAGTGCGAAAAGCGTTTATTAATATTAACCACGTGACAAAAGTGAAGCACGGAGATTGAGGTACCAAGTTTGAAATTTTCGAACAAACTTGTGTTCCTCATCAGCGGATGTGAGAAAAAAAAAACAGAAGAAAGGTGGAGCCTAACCAACATTATTTCTTTTGAGGTTCGGTAGAGTCCTGCTTGAAGATGAAATTGTTAGAAAAAATCCGTTCCCTCTTTGATTTGTAACTTTGTGAAAATAACCTTAGATTTAAAAATTGTGATTGTGGTGGGTGTAAGAGAGATGCGTTGTTGAATATAGAGGAAAGTGGGGTATAAGATTCAGGGGTGGGGAGGGTATTAGTGTTGAAAGGTTTTGGGTTTAGGATAAAGTGTGAGAATATAGCGAAGTTGGCAATAAAAATAAAATGAAAAGAAAAAAGAAAAAAAAAAAAGAAGAAGAAAATATATATATATATATATATATATATATATATCTATAATATACATACATACATACATATATATATACCTGTATATATATATATATATATATATATATATATATATAATTTAGACACCTTTTTAATATATATATATCTGTAAAATTCATATAAATATAATATCTGTAATTTTATATATATCTGTAATATATATATGTAATAGACATATATATATATATATATATATATATATATATATATATATATATATATATATATATATATATATATATATATATATATATATATATATATATATATATATATATATATATATATATATATATATATATATATATATATATATACTTTAGAGACCTTTTTAATATATATGTCTGTAAAATTTATATATATATAATATCTGTAATATATAATAAATTTTATATATATATATATATATATGCATACATAGATTTGTGTTGAAATCCATTTTTCGTTCTTCGCTAAACACCAAAATATACGTATATATCTAATATATATATATATATATATATATATATATATATATATATGGTTGGTTGGAGAGATGTGAGTTTGTGACCCTGGGTTTCACGCTTTAGCGATCGTCAGACAATTGTCTGACGATCACTAAAGCCGATATCGACCGAATGAAATAATGTACTGAATTCTATAGATAACAATAATCAGTGTACATAAATAAAGTCTTTGAGAATTTAAGGGGGCATACAAATCAGAACAACCAATAATTAACAAAAGTATCTGTTATTTTTTATATAGTCATTACCTTTCAAAGCAATTTTCAAGTATTTGACCTAATGCGTTTTTTAATTACTTTGTTGTCTCACAACGTTTGGGACCTCCTCCATGTGTCTTGGTGAAGACCCCATTTCTTCGAACTTTGTAGATTGTTGATACAGAATCACAAAACAAAAACCTCTAGTAAATAAAAGAAACAACATTTGAACAGTTTCAACAGCGGCAACATCTAAAATGAATATGACACGTAACCTGAACCTAAAATGACATAATCAAGATGTTGATATTTCACGCTACTTCAAACAAAAGGTTAGGATGCAAACCCCCCGTCAGTACCGTAAACAGCGATAACATCTACTGGGCTTGAGAAAACGTTATTCCTGAAAAAGTTTTAAAAGAAAAATTTTATAAATTTCAACTGAGAGCAGTGCAGACTGCTCGGCCAATAAACGCTGAATGTTTCCTTATAAAGAAACTACCAATATCACCATTGCTAATACGATTACAGAATATGTTACGAAATTAAAACATTAGCTTAATAATCCGAGTCTGGTTCTTAAATAATATTGTCAGTTCTAAATTCTACGTGATGACATGTTTGAAGTCGAACTCGATAAGAAAATGACTAAACTATTATCAACTAGCAGCCATACCCAGCTGATCGATCAGAAAAAGCGTTCAATTGGAATGGAGCAAAAACAGCATCATATTTAGAAGTAACACAGTCTATCTTCTTCAATTACCTTTAAGTACTTTCATTAAAAATCATTTTGAATTAATGCAGTTACTGACATAACAGAAGTAGTCTGCATTTATTCGATCGAAGTTAGCCGACAAAATGAAGGGGTAAAACAAGCAACATGAAGACCCACTTCAGACCACAATTATTTTGGAGTTTTTGAAATTCAATTTATCAATGTGCTACTAGGGATGTAAAAGAGGATACATTTATAAAGCAATTGTTAAGTTTGATGAAAATTGGTTGAAAGATCAACGAAAAATAAGAAAGAAACCAGTAAAAATTTTCACTATTTACGCTGGTTTTCACAATATGGATCGACTCAATTATCAAGTTAAATCACTGTTAAACAATCAAATTATTGTTGACTACAAATGAGTGAAGTTTGTATTAGCTTGCTTGAAAATTGAGTGTTGAAATCGATTTTTCGTTTTTTGCTAAACGCAAATGGTTGAGTTCGTCATCGTCAGTAACCTACATACCGAGTTTGAACGAAATAGCAGGGAAAGTTGAAATAATCGATTTTTGATCGACTTTATCGATGATTGATTTTTTAATTATTGATTTTTTACGCTAAGAACCTATCTCTTACATTGTACAATGTATGTGCCAACTTTGGTCAAAATCGGTTGGAT